CTCAGCCTCAAAACTCACGTCTACATGTCACCATAGTAGGTGAGGAGAGACAACTCAGGGACGCCCAAAGCAGGCCAGAAGAGCAGGAGAAAGGGGATTAAAAACCAGGAAGCCAGACAGAGGAACAGTCAGCCACAGGTACCCAGGTGGGGGTGATATGAGAGGTATCCAACAGCAAGACAAACTTGTCTGTTGGTTTGTCCTACTGTGGTGACATGTAGACGTGAGTTTTGAGGCTGAGCCTCCCCGTGCATAGACATACTTAATCATTCATCCTGTGCACATCTATCCACGAGTAGAACAATGTTTGCCATCACTCACAACACAGTACTGTATGTGCAAAAGGGTTCATCTTTGCTGTCTGTACCTCCTATGCACCTCTGTCTGTCTTCCTCTTCCTCAGTGCCTTGTTGTTGATCATTCACATTTGGTACATTGCCCTTCCATTCACCTAAATCAGTACTTGTCTCTACCTATAACAGTGTTCCCTCCACACTCCTTCCACCTCTGGTAACCAACAAAGAAAATTTCCTTCCATATATAAACTTTTAGGGTATGGACATTTTAAATTTAGAGAACTAACTGCAACTTCAGAACTTCCTAAGGAAGTTCATGTGTTTCTTTTTTAGACTTGTACTCTCTTTCTAAATTCTGTTTGTTAAAAAATAGATACCTTTGGATGGAAGTAATTACCTATCTACTTCTACTATAGCCTCTCCATAGTAATTGCTCTTTTCACTTGACTACCTTCTTGGCAAATCCAGTAACCTTTTTCTTTTCAATCTCTGGCAATTCTCTTTTTCATGATGTTATTCCTACTTCTCTTCTCTTGATAAGTGATTTGCTGTTCCAGGTCACGTTTTATTTTTTTCATGTCCTTATCTATCAGAGTCTTCTAAAGCTTTGTCCTTAGCTATCTGATCTTTTGAATGTTACTGCAAGATTTATGTCTCCAGTCTTGGTATCTCACTTGTAGTCAAGTCCGATATTTTTAAAAACAAAGCATCTCTACTTGATTACTGCCTTCAGTTTTCCATGTTCTAGGCTGAGCAGTGTTTTGTTACGTTGTACATAAGATCATTATGAATCGGAGCTGACTCCACTGCACCTAACAACAACAAAGCTGAGCACATAATCTTCTCTTTCTTTGTCTCTAAAGTTAGCTTTCTTCCTAATTTTCTCATTTCTATCACTAGTCTATAATATTGTTTCCATTTCATAAGCTTAAAGTTCTTTGAGACTTAGTCTCTTTCAGTTTTTTGCTATATTCTTCCTCCAAAATGTTTTAAAACTTCTTTTCCTACATATTTCTACTGTTACATTCCACTCACTACTAGATTATAGCAGCTACTTATTACCATATTTTTAGTTCTTTTACTCAGAAAACATGAGCCTTCTATGTTTGTTTGCCAACTACTCCTCCCCCCTCCTTGCTGAGCATAGTTGGCAAATAAGCATAGAAGGTGGGTGCAATATTTGTATAAAGATATGGTAGTCGTTTATATATTTCAAAATACCAAAAGGAAAGAGGGCCAATGTAGTAAGACAACTTTATAAGGATTGACAGTTTATGAAGGGTAATTTCTTTTATGAATGATTGGTTCAAATAATGGTCCAAGAATCATCACTTACATCTCCCCACCCTGACTTCTGAACTTTTAATTAGAATGTGTATGGTGCATTTAATGAATGTATGTTTTGTGGACTTATTTGCTGGTCACCTTTTTACTTTGTATGTCAAATCCATCTTTTTTTTTTTTTATGGTTTATGTATTTTGTGTTGTACTTAGAAAGGTCTGTCAAGTTTATAAAAAATCTGCCTGTATTCTAGTGTTTTTATGGATTTCTTTCTTTACATTTTATTTATTTATTTATTTTTCATCCAAGTTAATATATTACTACCCTCTACTTAGTGGTTTACCCTTCCTACCCCACCTATCCTTATAACCATCAAAGAATATTTCTTTTTTGTGTGAAACCCTTTTTTTGACTTTTTACAATAGTGATCTCATGTAGTGTTTGTCCTTTTGTGATGACTAACTTCACTCAGTATAATGAACTCTTAAGTTTATCCATGTTATGTTTCACAGATTCATCATTGTTTTTTAATGTTGCATAGTATTCCGTTGTATATATGTACCATAGTTTGTTGATCCTTTCTCCGTAATAACAAATCGCTTCCTATATATTTGATCTAAATAGTGTTTGATTGCTATATCTTAAAATACTGTAGATTTACAGTACTAGTATAGAACTTAAATTTAGACTTAACGTAACACTAAAGCTAATTTGTGGCACTGCCATTAACTTTATAGAAGATTCCTTAAGAAAGTCATTTTAGTAGATTGATTAGGTTATATATACTGAATGATATTTAGGTGTTCTAATTAAAGTATAACCAGAAGGCTGGCAGTTCAAACCCACCAGCCACTCCTCAGAAGGAGGGTTGGGCAATCTACTTCCGTAGTGATACCGCCTCAGAAACCCAAGGAGGGATCGCTATGAGTCAGGGCCGACTCAATGGAGTATAACAACAACAACAACAATTAAAGTATATAGACTATGATATGTCATTTGTGATTTCATTAAAATTTTAGTTTGTCAGAGGAAAAATAGTTTCATAATTTGGGATTGTTACCTAAATTTTCTTTTTGTAAATTCACTGGTCTATCACCCAAACCTGTTTTTTTCTTGATAGTTTTGTTATAGAAATGGTTATTGGGTAGGATATTTATTGGTATTGCATTGAATCTATAGATCAAGTTTAGAAGATTTGACATCTTAATAATACTGAGTCTTCCTATTCATGAAATATCTCTCCATTTATTTTGATCTTTGATTTCTTTCATCTCATGTATGTAGTCTTCCCCATGTAGATCTTACACATATTAGATTTATATCTAAATATTTCTTTTTTTAAGTGCTAATATAAATGGTATTGTCTTTTTTAATTTCAAATCCCCATTGTTCCTTGCTGACCTATAGGAAACCAGTTGACATTTGTGTATTAACCTTGTATCCTGCTGTGTGCTGTAATCATTTATTAGTTCCATCAGGTTTTTTCTGTCTATTCTTTTTGGATTTTCCACCTAGACAATCAGTGTCATCTGCAGAGATAGTTTTATTTCTTCCTTACTGATCTTTATATTTTTCTTATCTAATTGTATTAGCTAGCGCTTTCACTACAACATAAAATAGGACATACTGGTTGTGAAATGTGCATAGAAAGGCAAAATACCCAGAATAACCAGCACAGTACTGAAGAAGGAAAAAACAGAGTTGGAGACCAACAGTAACCGACTTCAGGACTTACAGTAAAGCTGTAGTAGTAAAGACAGTATGGTGTAGGTAAAAGAACAGACAGATAGATTGGCGAATTAGAATAGAAAGCTCAGAAAAAGAGCCACACAAATATAGTCAACTAATCTTTGACAAAGAAGGAAAGACAGTTCAATGGACAAAACGGACAGTCTTTTCAACAAATGGTGCTGGAGCAACTGAATGCCCACATGGAAAAAAAATGAATCAACACAGAGCTTACATCTTTCACAAAATTAATTCAAAATGAATCAGATCTAAATATAATTGCACAGAAGATAAGATAGGGGAAACTCTCGATGACCTTGGGTTTGGTGATGACTTTTTAGACATACCAAAATCATGATCCATGTAAGAAATAAATTAATATTAAAGTTGGACTTTATTGAAATTAAAAACTTCTGCTCTACCAAAGACACTGTTAAAAGAATGTATTACAAAACACATATCTGACAAGAGACTTACATTCAAAATAAATAAAGAACTCTTTATATGATCATATCACAGGAATGTAAGACATTAATACGAGAAACAACGTGGAAGGAGTATGTGGAGACTATGTACTTTCTTCACATTTTTTCTGTATATCTAAGACTGCTCTGAAAAATAAAGTCTATTAAAAAATGAATGAGTAAAATATTGACTTCATTATATCTTCTAACTATCTTAGGGCTTTGGATCCTGCTCCCAATCCGCCTCATTTTCCATCACATGTGATTAAAGCAACATTTGCCTACATTAGCAATTGCCATAAAACCAAGTTTAAAAGCATTTTAGAAATTCTTTCCAAAAGCCCGGTAAGTATAACTTAATTAATATAATTAATAACTGAAGAAAGAATTCTTTTTTTTTTTTGGTTAGAAAACCTATGTAAGTACATCTTAAGAGAAAGATAAACACATGGAAAATTTATTTGAATAATTAAAAAAGATACTAATTTACAAGTTTTTATCTTGGTATTTTACTTGTCATTATTAATTTGAAATATGTTGCATATGAGGCCTCAGTTTCATGATATTTTAGTTGTATATTAGCTTTTTGACTATATATTTTTTATTAGAGTATGCTATTACAGTTTACTATCTCAAAACTCAATAAATAAATTGACAATAGTTATTTTTAAGTTTAAGATAGTAATTCTACTAATGCAGTATTTTGCATTTGATATCAAACCCAAATCTAAAGTCTGCAGATTAGTTGCTTTGAATATAAAATATATTTATTATTGCTTAGTGTATGTGATTGGACAGTTTTTATTAAATGTATGCTTATTTTCTAGGATTCCTACCAAAAAATTCTTCTAGCCATATGTGAGCAAGCAGCTGAGACAAATAATGTGTATAAAAAAAATAGAATTCTTAAAATATATCACCTGTTTGTTGGTTTATTACTGAAGGATATAAAGAGTGGCTTAGGAGGAGCTTGGGCCTTTGTTCTTCGAGATGTGATTTATACTCTAATTCACTATATCAACAAAAGGTAATAATATTCTTGAAATAATATGTAATTAATTCTTTTTTGTACTCTATTCTCTTAATTGCATATTTATATGCTTATCAGAGAAGACAAAATACTGGTTTTCTTTTTTAATTTTTCTTTCGAATTATAACTACCAATAACATTTTTTAAAATTTGTTCTAGAGTTTTAAGATGTTAATGGACCATAAGATCTTGTTGTTGTTGTTGTTGTTATGTGCCGTCAAGTTGGACCCAACTCATGGCGACCCATCCTTGGGTTTCGGAGGCAGTATCACTACAGAAGTAGATTGCCCCATCTTCCTTCCAAGGAGTGGCTGGTGGATTTGAACTGTTAGCCTTCTGGTTAGCAGTCAAATACCTTAGGCACTATGCTACCAGAGCTCCTCATAAGATCTTATACACATCAAAATAAAGCATTTTTTATATGATACTCATTGACCATTTAAATTAAGAATAAATACTTGATATTTATTCTTTTACTACAACGTAGGAGAGCATACTACTTCCCAAGCATGAGTTATTTAAAAAGTCCTATTGTCTGTGCTCTCTAATCAAAATAGTAAGATGATGAAATATCTTTATCATCTATATCTTTAACTCTAGAAAGCTTAAGTACTAAGGGCTTTCAACATTTTTAAAGAAATATTTTAGATGTTGTTGTTGTTATGTGCCGTCGAGTCAGCCCTGACTCATAGCGACCCCTCCTTGGGTTTCTGAGGCAGTATCACTACGGAAGTAGGATTGCCCAAC